TCCAGCAATAGGAAGCAGGGAAAGCAGGTGGACTCCTCTCTCTTTTAAAACAACATTTAGATATGTATTTATATATATTTATAGACAGTTAATTGAACAAAATTCCTTACAAGCTGAGACCAAAAGACAAGATTCAATCAATATCTACCTTTTTTTTTTTTTTTTTTTTTAAATTCTCATGTTCAGACAGAAATCCCTAAGAAAGGAGGGCTGGATACTCGACACAGAAAAGTGTCAGTTTTTCAAACAGGTTGTTTACAGAAGGTTTTAGTTAAATCGTCTCATTGACTAACAAAAAATCAGTCTCTGCCTATGTTATTTCTGTCTGGGTTGGCAATTAAATGGGAAAAATAAGAGAAGAAATTCAGCTCAGTTTAACTGAAAACTTAACAAAAGTTTTACTTCTGCAGAATAATTTTTTTCAACTAGGATGTAAATGGATTTTTCTTATTCAGGACAAAATAGTGTCAAATGTAACATTTTGTTTAATGGCCCTTCTAAGGAGAGGCAATAACAAAATTAATGCAACCTCTTTCATCCAAGAGCTTGGTGATTAGGGCCCTTATTTTGTGTGTAGGAGGCCAGGATTACCTTTTTTCCTCACCTTGAGGACGTTTGAATTGATATCACTCATATAAGGGCATTGTTTAAGTGGAGGAGAGAATTCTTAACTCCTCTTATTGCTGTAATTTTCTTGGGAAAATACTTGAAATATTTTGGAGGCCATGGAGAGAATAATTTTGGGGCTCAGTGCACCACCTGGGAGGAATAGGATCTGTGCTCCTGGCTGTGTTACACCAATGACTTAAATTAAGAGAGTAAATGTCTCCTGAAGCAGGGACTGCAATCCTTTTCTTTTTTTTTCACCATGACTCATCTAACTTTTTAGTGATGAAGTTTTTTTGCTCACTGAGCCCTGAAGAGGGTTATATTCTATGTAAAACACAGAGATTGAGCAGGAGACACTGTGACTCTGTGGGCCCAGAAAGGCAGCCTGGCAGGTGGGCTAGGACCTGCAGAATCTGGCTCAAACTCTGTCCATGAAAGGAGAGATGGTTCTCAGGTCAGTGTAGTGCCTGAGTGACAGCTCTGCAGCTACCCTGGAAGACTTACAAATGTAGCAACAACTTTTTTTTCCCTCTTTTATATTTTCACTAGACAAAGCTGAACATATTGGTCTGATTTTCAAAATAGCTGTGGGAAGAAAAGAAACCACAGTTAGCCAAAAAAACCTTTGCCCAGTTCTTTTTTTGACATCCTGGTCACAACTGTAGCTTGAAAAAGATAATTAATAGTTACCTTGATTGCTTGGTTGTGTGGTTAAGAAAGGAAAACTGAACTTCACTAAGACCCTAGCCTTCTTGTCAGATCAGACAGTTTATGAAAAAACATTGGGACTATGAAATGAATGTAGAAGACAAAAGGTGAACAAGCTTTCCACTTACAGGAGGACATTTGTATTTATTTCCCTTGTTTCTTGTGTTTGGGGCTGAATCTTGGGGCACAGCTAGATGAGTCAGTGCAAGTAGCATGATACTAGCTATGGAAGCATTTTTAATCAGAGATGTATCTCAGAGATAGTACAAATAGATGGTTTCCTTTCCCTTGAAGTCTAAAGGTAAGGAGAGACAAAACACCTGAATTGTGGGAAGACCAATCTTGTGTGGTCAAAGGGATTATCTAGATGAAAAGGACTCTCTGGCAGCTTTAAACTGTTTTATTCCTTTTCTTGTCTTCTTTTTCTTCCTCAATGAAAAACACTAAGTCAGGTCAATTTTATCAATTTTTCCCTGCATTTGCACTCTAAGACTTTCTTCTGTTCTCATGTCAGTCCTTACCCTGCTTTCTTCCAAAGCACAGGTCCTTTCCAGAGTGACTGCAATTAAAAGATTCCCTAGCTGAGAAGTATGCCAAAATAAACTGCTTGAGGTCCCACCTCCCAAGATTTTCAGGAATCCTAGTAGAGACTGATGAGTTAGATTTGGCACCAGTTTCATATTTGAAATATATTATTTTCCCCCTCTAGGTCATGGATATTTAGACAGATGTGTTCAGAGATTTGCAAAAATTAAGGGAGTGACAGGGTTAGCTTTTTGTTGTATAAGTGACCAAAAAAACTCAGTCATTGCCTCAGCAAGTGAGGAAGCCGTCAAGGCGCAGCTATTCTAGGCTTCAATGGAGTTTTTCCTCTTTCTGATAAAGACAGGTTCTGTTCAACAGAGGTGTTAAGATCCTTATGACCTGAATTCTTGCCAGTGTCATTCCTTCACAACAACTCATTATACCTTTGTATCGCCTGAATTGCTAAAGCGTTTGCTTAGGCCTCCTGAGAGACTGAACCGGGCGTCTGGCACCACCTGTGAAAATCCCACTTGTAATGGCTTCCCCTCTGCACTTCTGCTGGAAGCAAAGCCCTTTTCCTAAGCAGAGGTGTGATACTCACTGCTTCAGAGAAGGAAAGCCTTTTAATCGAAGTGTTACACCTGAATAACTGTTATCCCTGCAGGAAAAAGAAATAAAAACCCTCTCACGGGACTAACAAATAACACAAGTCTTTCTATAGAGAAACGACAAGAAAACTATGTCACCTTGTCTTGTTTAGCTTGGCAGAGCCAAAGTGCTCGTAAGAGGTGAAGCTGCTATGACTTGCCTCCCCTGCTCCCAGAGCCACGCAGCCTCTGCTGCCAAAAGCGCTCTTCTGTCACAGCAGTGCGGCAGGTGAGCGTCTGCCAAATGACAAAACACAAACCTCCTAATGAGCAGCTGAGGGTAGGGTGGGGATTCCTGATAGAGACAAATCTATGTCCCTCAGGAGATCTGGTGCAAACCGATCAGTATAAGAAGTATTTGGCTGCTAATTAAGTTTAGATCCTTTGGCTGCACTTAAAACAGTTTGAGAGTATATCAAGTTGGAGAGCAGGTGCTGACTGGCTTGAAAGCACTGGTCCATCAAATCAGGTAAAGGTTTTATATTCAGAAACTCCCCTAGAAGGGAGACTGTAACTTGCTAAGTGATAGATATACCTAGACCCTTTCAAGTATAATGCATTATTGACAGAGTTATAATCCTTGTGACTTTTATTTCCCCAAATGCTTGCAAAATTCCCCTCTGCTCTGAATGTTCTGTCCTCTTCATTTGTGTGTATGGAATGAATGCCGAAGGAGATATATAGCCAGGTGCAGCTTGAAAGTCCCAGGAGGAGTTGCTTCTGGTCTTCCTTCCTTGATTTGGAATCCAAACAGGAAAGTCGGATTTTAGAGGACTTGCCACCTTTGTTCCATTGTCTCTAAAAATTCCAAAGGTTAAGAACAGAAGAAGGTTGGATGCATAATATGTCTTCTCCCCAGGTGCCAGAATATTTAGAGAAGTGGTCACTTTTTATTAGTAGATCTTAGATGTTCTTGACTGATCAGAATAAAGGAAGGCCCAGAAAATGTGAAACTGAAAAATAATTAGCTGCATATGCAGGGCGGAACTGAGATAAAGGTCATTAAAAATTTGGGTTATGTTTTTCTGTATCTGAAAAACTTCTTAATGATCTCTGTGCTACAGAGAACAACAAAGCAGATTAGAATAAATAAAAGCTGTACCATGCCTCCCTACTGTGATACAGCTGCCTGAGGACTGAATACAGAATGGTACATACTTACAGCAGGTTGCAGTATGACCAGTCCAATTGTTCCAAATTATAAGTTGCCTTGGAATCATGTTTGAAAGTTATCTTTTTTAAATCTTTTTAGTACTTTGTTCCCTTGAATTTGGGTCTCTAATGATCACTTTTTAAAAAAAGAAATATTTTCCATTGTCACAGTACTTCATTTCTGGGGCCAAAAGGATTCTTCACCCACCTCATCAGTTGAATGAAAGGGAAATTTATGAGGCAGAGAAATATTTGCAGTTACAGAAGTCATTCTTTTTACAATTCCCCATTTCATGGTTAGTGAACTGGAAGTAAGTAAATTTAATAAAATTTCTGGTGTGCCTTAAAATTTATACTGTTAACACGGAGAATTAGAGCCTGCTAGTGTACTTTTGATCAATAATGGTAGATGGATTTCCTTCATCATAGTAAGGTTTTGTGTAGGGTCTTCCCTGAAGTGTTGTGGTAGTGCTGCAGTTATCAGCTTGTTTCCAGCCTCGTGGAATTTGACAGACAGCTGACAGTAGAATACCTCTTAGAAAAAGTAAAAGATGCAGCACAGGGATGTTTTCCTCCCTGACAACTTGCCTTGTCCTGAGAAATCTTTGCATGGCTTTCTTTTACTGTAGAGTAGTGCCCTTTGATGGTTCAAGGTACGTGGTGCTTTCAACACTTTGTTTTCTATGAACAGATCTTTTGTAAACCATCCATTAATTAGTTATGGCAGCTACACTTGCTGAGAAGTATTTCACTGAGTTTAAATATCATAAGTAAAGAAAGTTGCTCAGCGTGTTGTGTAGATAAGAAGTAGTTGAAGTGTGGTGTGACAGAAATTGCAACATATGGGTGCATATCCAGAGCATCCCTGTTTCTGTCAGGATAAACATGCATTGTTGTAGTAATACCTCTAAATATTATGTAGTACCTCTAAAATAAATGTGTAAAGATTTTCTGAAGAAATTGCACCTAAATAGTTTGCAAGGTGAAGGGTCTGTGGAAGAGTCCCAAGAACTTCTTTAATCTGAACCACAACACTACAGGCCCAAAGTAGTTGAGTGAATTTGACTTTTCCGTTCAGCAGGGGAAGTGAAAGAGGGTTAATAAATTAAGCAGAACATCTAACAACACTAAGCCATCAGCTCTAGTGGTTTTACCTTCCATTTGCTCTTAATTTGGAACAATGGGTGATTGTTAATTGTATGAGCCTAGAAACTAGAAGTTAGGAAGGAAATAAGAACATAAGATTGTGCCTCTTTAAAATGCATTTCTGATAGCTGTTCTCCATCCTGCTGTAATCCTTCTGTGAGGGTGAAGCAGTGAGGATGAAGGCTGCTCAGCATTATTCTCCCTGGCTTGGTTTTAGGGTGTGATGATTAGAACATGATGCTGTAGTCAGGGAATGACTACAACATTCCAACCCATCCCCTTTGAGGTAGCACCCAACTATTTCTATTCACAGAGCACCATTGTCTCCTTTCTTAAGGCCCTTTTAGTTGAAGCTAGCACAAGATGTCATGGAGCAAGAGAGAGGCTTGGTGTCAGCTTCTAGAAACATAAAATGCACGTGGATTAGGAGATCTCAGTCTTGTACACAACAACTGAAACATGTAAAGTGATCTGGGCAAGCCCCATGAAGGCATCTTCTGAACATGATCTGCCAGTTTACTGTCCTTTTTTGGTGCTGCCACCACACAACCAGTAATCTACACTGCCTTGCACTCTTTCTGGTTGCTGGAGACCCTCTTAGATCTAGTTTAAGTTAGTGAGTCTATTCTAACGTGAAAGGGATGAGAAAACGGCCCCAAGTTTTCTTAGTCTCTTCCTCTTCATTCATGCATTTGGTAGAGCTTGGTTGAAATGGTGGATTAGTGTCACTGGGTCTAGTGCTTTCTGAAGTTATTAGCACATGGGTTCAAGTTTTGGCATGTTTGAAACTGACCCATTGATTCCAAAGTGTAGCCACACTGAGTGACTCAGTCAATGCTGTGTCAGATATTGGCAGCAGGAATAAGGCATAGGATATGCTTACCCATCCTTGTATTGAAAGACCATCTCAGCTGAATTCAGTGAATTTTCATCTATACTAGTTTCTCCTGCATGAGGCTGAAAAAAAATCATGAATTCAAATTAATGTTAGGGGCCACTGTCTTCACCAGCTAATACTGCCTGAGTCTCTTAGTGCTGATCAGGGTGTGGATAATTTCTTGTGGGAGAATTGCAAGATGCTCTTCAAGTACCAAGAAATAATTATTGATTTTTTTTTTCCATACCAGTTTTAAAACAATATTTGAAGCTGGTCTGCTGGAGGAAGAAAGCTAAAATCATCTCAGTTCTTCTTTGCTTTAAATGCAGCCCTTGCCTTGACAGGGGAGGAAGCCCCACGTGCTGATGTATTGCTATCAGTTCTTGGAGAAGCCTGACTAGCCTGACAAAAATGTTGATGCAATCAGCACTCTCCTTGCCGCTGCCTTCTGGCCTCTCTGGGATGGATATACAGCACCTCCAAGATATGGCAAATGTCAAGTTGCTTGTGAGGCCACGTCCCCACGTTTGAGCTTGGAGCTACCAGCTGGCAGTGGCAGCAGCCCCGTGCAGTCCGGGTGGTTGCAGCGAACAGCTTTGAAGTTCTGCCCTTCAGCTATCTCCTGTTGCATGCAGCTTGTGATACATGAGTCTGTGTCCTGCAGCTGTCTCCGTTTAAGTCAGCAGGCGTTTGAAGCAATGCTGGCCACCCCAGGGAAAGGGGCAAGAGTTGAACAAAGTGTTCATCTTCAATTAAACCGTTGGAATGCCAGTGCAGAGTCTGATTCCCTGCCACTTTCTCCTCTAAAACCGATGTCATGTCTGAGCTTTTTAACTGGGAAAAGCAGAGGCAGCTGTCAAGGTCTGCTAGTCAGTTCAGGTTTGAACCAAAGGGAAAAATCAGAAATGGTATCAAATGGTTTGTAAGGAGGACATGCTGAGTTTAAGGCAGCGATTTCAGCAAGCTCCAGCTCTCCTTTAGATTACTGTCTTCAGTTTGAAACTTTGCTGCTGAATATGTCTGAGGAAACTTACAGGGTAATATGCAGGAAGCTTAACCAGCAGAAGAGTTTAAAAATGTTTCCCTGCAGTGAGCCAAAATAAGCTCTGGTGTAAGTGCAAGATCTTCTAAAGTCAGTTCTGAAACTGCTGCTGAAGGTGAGTTGAAACCAGCAGTCCAGGTCTTCACCTTGAATTGAGTGACGTGGTTTTCTTCACTGGGAATGACTTAATTATGGGAAAGATAAGCTAGAGAAAGACATGACCCACCTGGCTGCTGCACCCATTTAGTCCTGGGCTGAACTTGCTCAATTATCTCCTTTTTTTTTTTTTCTTTTTTTTTTTTTTTTCTTTCTTGCATATCAAGTATGGCTGCCTGTGTGGAGCCACAACAAAAGCAGTAACAACAGACTTTGACACCTGTGTTTCCTCCAGCTGTGAGTCTCATCTTTTTTTCTACAAACAGCTTTATCTGCTTCAGAATGTGGGACCAGTTCTCAGAATTACAAAGGCTGCTCAGCAACAAATGGTCTCCTAGTTTGCTTTATCTGTTCAAACGTGTGCTTTTTGGTCTAACTTTACTTTTCCTATGAACTTTACGTGCTGCAGGGTATGCTCCTTACTTATGGAGTGAGTTTGATACAAATTGCGTAACAAAACAATTTACAATGCAGGCTCTGTGTTCAAATCCATGGTTATGTTCTTAAGGATCTGACTTTTGCTTCTCCCTTACCAGCTGTCCTCTGTTAGTGACTAGTGCTGATAACAGCCCTGCTGAGAAAGCAAATGGTAGAAAGCAAATTGCTTCTTGGGGAAAAAAAAGCAGTAGATGGAATGAAGAAGTAAAATGAAAAAGAGGTGTCAGAAAAATTTATTCTACAATACAAACTACTGTTATGCCAGGATAACTAGCCTGGTAATATTTGATGTGGCTGGAATCATTGCCACCAAAATGAGCAGAAAGTTTTGTTGTCATTCACAGCAGAAGAGTAGCGAAGGAATTTATGGTATGAAAGTTGTCTGTCTTCTAGTGCATCTGTATACACCATGTGCTGGGCCACTTGGCAGGCCAGGAGATTATGTAAAACAACAACAAAAAAATATCTTGGAAAGTCTGCTGTCTTTGTTTAATATATCAGAAATGCTATTCTTCCATAACCAGAGCAGCAGCTTGGTATCAGAATTTTTAATGCAGGATAAAGAATATGCGCAGGAGGAATGAAAGCTTTCCTCTTCCCATTTCATGAACTTTCAAAAGAATGCTGAGGATGGAATCAGAATGGTGTGGTGGGAAGTAACATAAGAGTAATTTCTTATTCTGTAAAAAGTATTTAATGTTTACGAGAAAAGGAGACAACCCAAATAAAATTGCATTGTATGGATTTCCCTGCTGTAGTGTAGCAGGAAAAAATAGTGCGAATAGAAGAAAAGTCACTGCAGTGTTCCAGAGAGTGCAGTCATGAAGCCAGGAATGCAGTATGTAGCTGAAACCTTTTGGAAACCTTTTAAAATCTAACCTTTAATTTCACTGCATGAAATTTAGGTCATTCTGATCCACCTGCTTCCCCTCAATGGGTCTGAGAGAGTAATTCTATCTGTGTAGACACTTTTCTCAACCTAGATAATTAATTACATTCATTTATTTTAATTTAATTAAAGCAAATCAGGAATAATTTTACTTCACAAATTAGTTGTCACTATTTAATTTTTTTTAGTGTTCGTGTTTAAGTCAGCTGGAAAGATCAAATAGACTTGTTCATTTCCCTCCTCACTCGTAGTTGTTTTTTTCAGTCTGCTTCCTGTTCAAGTTTCTATGCACAATATAGTTTGCTTTTTATTTAAGCTCTACTGTATCTTTTCAACAATATTACTTAAACCGTGTCTAATCCTGCAAGCTTCTTTCAAACCATTTGTGGTCTGCTGGACTTTCCAGTCTCTTTCATAATTATTTGGAGCCTTAAGCATGAATTGGTAACTTCAGATGTGCAAAAGAGCTCACTGTTCTGGTTAGGACTTTTGCCATTTGAGATATGTCTGATCTGTAGGACACCATTTCATAGCCTAAATACCCTAAATTTATAATATGAACAGATAGCAGGTGATTAAATTTGGAGAACGGCTGCATCATTGTTTTGAGAATTAATAGGCAGTCTAGGACTCTGATAAGCCAGTCTTTAAAATGCTTTGTTCTAGCAAACAAAAAAAAAAAAAAAAAGGGGGGGGGTGATCCTGATAATTTTTTCAGTCTATTCTAAGGCTCTGCTTTGAGTATTTTGACAAGAAAGAATCCAAACCTTGTGAATATACTTAGTTTAACCTGGAATATATATGCATAGGTAATAATAATCTCATTCCCAACCTCTATGCATCTTCTAGCTCCTTCATATTACTTTTCTTTATGAAGTACAGAACACATACCAAGCTCAAAAATGTATTTGCAAAGACCTCATGGTCCTGTTGCAACCATGTTTTAGATGGTTCTTCCCACAACAAACAGAACTTATTTGTCAAAAGATATTAAGAGAATTTTTTCCACAATGGGTGTCTCATGTAAGCCTATACTTTAAAAAAATATTGGTTTTTATTTTGACAAACATGGTAGAATTAACTTATTACACTCAGTCTCAGGCTCCACAATTTCACATAGTCTGTCTTCATATAGAAACTTATGCAACATGATCAGGAATATATTGAGTTTTTTTTAAGTTCATGAGCTTTCTTATAATTTTAATTTTGTAGGACTTTCCTATAAGGATGGAATATCTGTAAAATATTATGTTACAAAAAGAAAGAAAGGGGATTTTCTGCTTGAACTGTTTTCTGTCAGGGCTAGTTCAGATAGGTTGGGCAATGAAACTATTGTGAATTACTATTTTTGCCTGTGTTTCTGACTTCTCAGCTGGTTCTGCCCATCTCTAATGGGCAGTGGTATTGAGGGCTGTGCACTTGCCTCTGGGTCTGTCATGAGGCTTGGCTGGAGCTGGACCTTCTGAGAATTGGCGCAGCATACTTTCACACGCTGCAAAAATAATTTCTTGTGCTAATCCCTTGTGGCATTTACATATTACACAAGACCCTCTTTATAGAAGAAAAAACCAACATTTTCCCATGACCATAGTTAATGTACTGTAAATCTGTGAACTGTTGGATCTGTGAGCCACATCTCAGGATACTTTTTCCTCCAGAAAAGGACTTGCAACAGCAGTGTGCTCTCTATCACAGAGGAAAATTCTAGTGTGGTTAAAATATTAGTTCTAGACTCTAGAGGTCTAACATAGAATTTCTGCTCATCTACTGATTGCCTTGTAACTAGATGTTAGGGCACCACATGAACAGAAACCCAGTATAGGTCATCTGTGAAAGACAGGAAATTCAAGTGTTTAAGAACATCTGTTCTGCCTCTGTTTAAGGGTTCACTGGGC